GGTGGCTGTGCGGTGCCGGTACCCGACGGGCTATGAGCGTTATCACAAGTTCTGGTGCCGGAAAGGAGGTTTGGTAGACGGTTGGGGCTGTTCCAATGGGATTCACATCGTTGAGACCGATGGGTCGGAGGCGGAGGTGACGGGGGACAGAGTCTCCATCCGAGATAATCACACCCAGCGCGTGTTCACTGTGACCCTGGAGCACCTGACACGGGCAGACGCTGGCATGTACCACTGCGTGGTACGGAGAACTGGGCCTGATCTCAGGGATACTGTGAAAGTCACCGTCTTCCCAGGTAAATCCCGGCGCCGCTCTTCGAGGGAATGCAGGAGTGCGGGGCCCGCAGCCAGGCAGGCCGGTGTCCGGCGCGCTGGGCTCTGCGGGGCTGCAGCACTAGACACTTGTGTGCGGAGGGGAGAGGGGGGCACCGGGGTGTCAACCAAGGCGCTGCCCTGGAGAGTGAATTTTAGATCCAGGCCAGTTTCCTAGTGCCCCGCCCAGCGCTCGCCCCAGGGAACATGGTGAGCGCCCCTCATCCAGGCCGGCCGGCAGCACCTGTAAATAACACAGCAGGGCAGTTTCTTCCTGCACTGGGCTGTGTTCCACATGTGGAGGGGGGTTTGCAGCGGGGGAAGGGGCTTTACTTTCACCCTACGCTGTTCTCATCATAGATTGTGTGTGTCCCGCCCTCGTCTGGAGCCTGCGGACTCATGTTACTCACTGAACTCCCAGTCACTCGCTGGGCTTTAAGGAAGAGCCTTGATTGGTGACACCGCTTTGGTTCCCGAGAGTGGGGCTGTTAGTGCCCTGTGGGGAGACTCCTGAACCGGGAGAGGACAGGAGCTGGCATCAGTGGGGTCTGGGTATCACTGTTGCTGACAGGAATGGGGAAGTTCCAAGTGAATAAAAGACTCGCAGTGTCAACCTGTGGAACTCCGTGAGCGAAAACCAGAGACAGTTTACACATTTTCTAAAAAGCTGTGGATTCTGACAGCTTTTGCCAGCCGACGCCCTATTCCCTGGCTTCTTTCATCTTGCAGCCGCTGCTGTGGGTACCAGCCAGAGAGAGAGGGGCAAAGAGATCAGCGAGGGTGGATGTACTAACTCTGTTGCTGGAGTGTTAGTTCAGCAAAGCATGGGCTGGCCAGCGGTGAAAAATTTTTGGCTAAAATTCTCTGCTCTGCCTCTGGGCGGCGCACCCTGGGGGAGGGGGGCAAAGCTGGCTTTAAGTCACCCTGGCGTCTTTCCAGTTCTGAGCTGTCACATGCACTAGGCAGAGGAGTGGCTGCTCTAATTTCCCACAACCTGCCCCCATGGGCTGCCCATGTACTACTCTGCATCCCCCAGAAGCAGAGAGTTTCTATGACCCTGAGTGACAGAAAGAGACATGCCCCCCCCCCAGCCTGGCATACCCCACGCCAATGTTTTCAGTGGTGGGAAGCAGCGTAGGGCCACTTGTTGCAGCCTGATGCAGTTCTTATGCTGGGGCAATTCTGCCCTGGTGACTGAAGGGCTTTCCTGGCCCCTCTACCCCACCGGAGCAGCCTGCAGGGGCCTCGGCGGAGAGGAGAATCCCTCCCCTGTGTCTCTTGAAGCCTAAACCTTGTTTTTAGGAACAAGAATGTTTAGTGCCATTGGCCATTTAGTGCAATGGCCTTTCGTCCTGGGGAATCTGATTTACTGAGTCTGTTTTTATCCACAGATCATTCTTCCCCAGCCCCAACAAAAAGGTCATCATCAGCGACAGTGCATCCAGCTTCTTCTTCCCCCTCAAAACCTACTTTCATCTGGACAACTACTGAGAAAGAGAAATCCAGCTTCTCCACTAACCAAAACCCCACTTCCCCTGAGTGAGTACCAGTGCTCCAGCCAGGGTCGCTTATGGGTGCGTCTACACTGCAGCTGAGTGCAAGCTCCCAGCCTGGGTACACACACTTGTGATAATGGGGCTTGCGATAATGTGCAGACATTGGAGCCTGACCCCTAGGCGTGATAACAGCCCAGACCACAAAGTCTAAGTATGTGCACATGCCTGCTGGGAAAGCCATGGGGACATAGTGCTGTAACCATCCCCCTTCCTCATTCATTTCCCTCCTCACAGCTTGTTTCTCCCACTTCCTGCACCAGATCTGAGAGTCTGCCCCTGCCAGCATGTAGGCACATGGGCCATTTGAGTCACATGACTAGTTCCAGGGACATCTACATTCTGGTCTATACAATCTATTCCTGACACGGAGAGTCAGCAAAGGGTGCAGCGAATCAGCGCTGAACAAGCTCCAGCTGTAGACAAGCTGCAAGATCTAGAGCCAAAATACTTCAAACTAAGAATTTTAAAAATCGAACGATCTTTTCCCCGTATATTTTGTTCACTTTTTGAGCTCTGTGCATCTTCCAGAATGAAAGCCGACTGGTCAGTTTCACTTTTGCTTCTAATTCGTTCCACTCCAGCCCATGCACTGACTAGCATAATCCTGCCAGGTTTGGGTTGCCAGATGCCAGCGCTGCAAGGGGCATCCTTATTTATTTACATAGGAATTTAAAAGAATGCATGGAAACATCTCTGGTGGTCTTAGGTTTTTGTCAACATTTTTACCACATCTAAATTTGGGGCCAATTTGCTGCTAAACCCAGGGTTGTGAGTTCAATCCTTGAGGGGGCCACTTAGGGAGCTTGGGCAAAAATCAGTACTTGGTCCTGCTAGTGAAGGCATGGGGCTGGACTCGATGACCTTTCAAGGTCCCTTCCAGATGTATGAGATAGGTATATCTCCATATATAAAAGTGGATTAAAACTACAGAATCCCTGGCGCCAGGAAAAAACCTAAAAGAAACCAAAATGTCTAAGGCTTTTATCCTACAAACCTTTCCACATGATTGCTTAACTTTAAGCATGTTTATAACGTTAAATATTTGCTTAAAATGTTTCTAGGAATGGAGCTGAAAATACCAAAGAATTAACAAACGACACCACAAGTTGATTAAAGCTCATATTTATCAGCTATACCAGAGAGGCTGCTGCTCATTTCTGCTCATCTCAAAGACAAGACTAAGGGCAGGTCTACACTTACTTCCTGGTCCGGCCCTAAGCAATCGATCTTCTGGGATCGATTTATCGCGTCTTGTCTAGACACGATAAATCGATCCCGGATCAATCCCGGAAGTGCTCACCGTTGACGCGGTACTCCAGCTTGGCGAGAGGAGTACGCGGCATCGACGGGGGAGCCTGCCTGCCGCGTCTGGACCCGCGGTAAGTTCGAACTAAGGTACTTCGAATTCAGCTACGTTATTAACGTAGCTGAATTTGCGTACCTTAGTTTGAAGTGGGGGGTTAGTGTGGACCAGGCCCCAAAAAAGGGACAGAGGAAGTTAGTTACGTAGCTGGCTATGCACATTCCCATGCAGCGTGAGATAGTGTCCAGATAAAACACTGTGCTTGAGAAATGAGCCAGGAGGTGGGGGAAATCACCAGATTAACGCAGCTTTGGACATCCTTAAACTTGCCCCACCCAGCATCAGCTACAACATTAGTGTCAGCTGGGCAGGAGGGGGTGGCTGGGTGTGACCAACCCACCCGTAGGGATCCAGACAAAGCTTCACCCTCAAAGTTTCTATGACCTGGGCAGACAACAAAGGGGAGGGCGGGATAATATTATCTACGAATAAAGGTGCTGATACAGCTAAAAGAAGAACAGGAGTACTTGTGGCACCTTAGAGACTAACAAATTTATTAGAGCATAAGCTTTCGTGGACTACAGCCCACTTCTTCGGATGCATATAGAATGGAACATATATTGAGGAGATATATATACACACATACAGAGAGCATGAACAGGTGGGAGTTGTCTTACCAACTCTGAGAGGCCAATTTTTGAAGTGATAATCAAGCTAGGCCAGTACAGACAGTTTGATAATAGGTGTGAGAGTACTTACAAGGGGAGATAGAGTCAATGTTTGTAATGGCTCAGCCATTACATGAAAAAACTCGT